ATATCCTTGAAAGACCTGAACAGCACTAGTGTCCACTTGTTCAGGGTGCTTCCCTTTACACGTAAGCCCATAGTAAGACCGGAGTAGCACTAGTGTTCACTTGTTTCAGGGTGCTTCCCTTTACACGTAAGCCCATAGTTAGACCGGAGTAGCACTAGTGTCCACTTGTTTCAGGGTACTTCCCTTTACACGTAAGCCCATAGTATCCTTGAAAGCCCTGAACAGCACTAGTGTCAAAGTCATCAGTCCAAATATTAAGCAACAGCGAGAAACAGTGCACAGCCACTAGAAAGTGAAAACAAGAAGACAAATTAACTTTGTATAAACTCCAATTCTTCATAAACTAAAGTGTTAGAAAGAGGTAAAAATCAAACACAAAGTACTTCTAGCTGTAGTATTCTAAATATCTACATCTATCAACAAACATGGCGCAGGACACATACGCCCTCTACATTATGTTGGTGAACATTAATCTTCTATCGGTAATGGGCTTACCTTGATTTACTTTACGGGTTTATGTAGAAGGATGAGAGAATTAAGGCAGATCCGTGAACTCTGACACCTCACGAAAAACCTGAAAACAAGGTGGTAACATTCTTTTCTCAATACTCAAAGTCACAAAATGGATATCATAATGACTTTATGAAACATATTTAATAAGATTTAGAAACTTTCTAAAGATTATTTTTTCCATTTGTACGGTTAGCTTGAAGTATTTACCTCCAAACCGCTAGATGTCGCATTCACGCATCCTTAAGTTATTCAACAAGCAAAAATATAAAGTTACTATACAGACAAATGACATAAACCATTAAGTCTTCGCACTCGAGTAAACCAAGTCTGATCATGTATGACGAGAAAGTTGTTATTTAAAACAAGCGGATTACTGAAGTTCACTTACTGCCTTTATTAAATCTGTTACAAGAAAGCTGATATTTAAAACAAGCTCCTTTACTGAGACTCATTTACTGCCTTTATTAAAACTGTTACAAGAAAGCTGGCATTTAAAACAAGCTCCTTTACTGAGACTCATTTACTGCCTTTAATTAAAACTGTTACAAGAAGGCTGATATTTAAAACAAGTTCCTTTACTGAGACTCACTTACTGCCTTTATTAAAACTGTTACAAGAAAGCTGATATTTAAAACAAGTTCCTTTACTGAGACTCATTTACTGCCTTTATTAAAACTGTTACAAGAAAGCTGGCATTTAAAACAAGCTCCTTTACTGAGACTCATTTACTGCCTTTATTAAAACTGTTACAAGAAAGCTGATATTTAAAACAAGCTCCTTTACTGATACTCACTTACTGCCTTTATTAAAACTGTTACAAGAAAGTTGTTATTTAAAACAAGCTCCTTTACTGAGACTCACTGCGTTAACTAAAACTGTTACAAGAAAGTTATTTAAAACAAGCTGCTTTAATGACACTTACTTACTGCCTTAATTAATAAAATTGTTTAACGTTTAATTACAGATGAAATAAACACTTACCAAACGACTACTACTACTGCTCAGACAATTCCATTTTCTTCCCCTTCCGTAGAAGATATGATGGAATAGGTCTTGTTTTCTCGCAAGCATTTCTTGACAAACTTACAGGTACTCCAGTAGAAGAAGAAGTGTTAGAATTCACCATCAGATGGCGCACGAGGTCTTGAATTTGAGAATGACCAAAGCTATGAATGTCAATGTCCATGCCTGAAATTAAAACAATAAAATATGGGAATATACAAAAATTTCTAGAAAATGTAGAAATACTTTATTGTAACTTAAATGTTCGAAAACAATTTTTAATTTCGGAATTTCTTCACTCATAATTTGAAGAAGAAAACACGAATAGTTGTTATTGATCGGATAACCAAATGCTATTTATAAAACTATTAAGATTTTACTAGTCTCTTTCGTAACAGTCAAACACGTGTCGTACGTCACTTCCCACGTACAAGGCGCGTGAACAACATAAATGTTGAAAGAGAAATTGCTATTAATGGCAAAGATTCGGCCATGTGCTGTATCAGCTGTTTAGTTTCACAGGCTATCAATGTTGTAGGGAGAACAAGTCAGAAAAAACACCGTGAAATTAATCAAACTGCCTCTCTGTGTGAGGGAATAGGTTGCGGGAAGCTATTGTGCTGCATTACAGTCAATAGAACTGTTGCTACCGAGGGAGGACTTTCCCACGGGAATAACGAAATATATTGTCTTTACAAGTTGAATCACTTTTGAGGCTCGAGTAAACAGCTGTTAGGAGTTGTATAAATTGATCTTTGGTCGCGTGTTCTGAAACGGTGAAGATCCAATCAAAAAGGAGATCATATACGATGTAATAAGGAAAAGTCATAAACCTAACAAGCAAACTGAGAATAAATGAAAGAAACCGATTCGCGGAGCAAGACACTACAAACTTCTAGGCTTAACTTGGACAGTGCAAGGAACGAGACAGTACAAACTTTTAGGCTTAACTTGGACTGTTTGCAAAACGAGACAGTACAAACTTTTAGACTTAACTTGGACAGTGCAAGGAACGACAAACTTTTAGGCTTAACTAAGAGTAAGACTATTGCACTGTGATCCAGAAGTAAGGGTCTATTTCTCAGAACGTAAAAACGTGACACATTCTTTTTCTCTAAATAGTTATCATTAATTCAAACTAACAGTGCTTTATTCAAGATTTTCAGTCAAAATTTCTTTTCTTCCAATAAAGTAAACATATCCTACGACCTACGTGAAATACCATTTGGTCTTTCACGACTGTTCTTACACACTCACCCTTATTAAAAGTAAAAATTTATCCACCCCCCCCTTTATTTTTCAGAACACCATAAGTTCCCCTCTTAAACTTATGTTAAGTACTGGCTTCCACTGCTACCGACAATAACTCACTAGGTTACAAAAGACAACAGTTTTAACTGGAGCCTAGCCTGTCTTTTTCAAATCTTTAGCTTGTGGTCTTCAGAACACAGCACAGATATATCAAGTGCCTTTATGATACTGATCTCCTACATAATCTTGTAAACCTCATTAAGATCACAGGTGCGCGGCATGGCCAAGTGGTTAGGGCGCTCGACTCACAATATGAGGGGCGCGGGTTCGAATCCCCGTCCCACCAAACATGCTCGTCCTTTTTGTCGTGGGGGCGTTATAATGTGACGGTCAATCCCACTATTCGTTGGTAAAAGAGTAGCCCAAGAGTGGCGGTGGGTGGTGATGACTAGCTGCCTTCCCTCTAGTCTTACACTGCCAAATTAGGGACGGCTAGCGCAGATAGCCCTCGTGTAGCTTTGCGCGAAATCCAAAAACAAACAAACAAACAAAGATCACCGGTACTCTTCTCAAACGTGGTTCCGAGATCTTAACCTATTGTTGTAAGATAACCTTTCCATCCCTGGTATAATCGTAGCTGTTGTCCTCTGAACCTCTTCCAGTAATTCAATATCGTTTCTTCGATAAGAAGTTCAAAATGTACACAGTATTCCAAGTAAGGCCTAACTAACTAGTGTTCATTATGTCCATAAATCTATCCTAAAAGACTGTTATCTTGACTGCTAAAAACAGAGTACTATATGGATGGCTGGAATTATCCATCGCTTTCTTTTTATACAGACATGCTGTTAGGTTGGTTTCAACATTTAACACCTTTAATACAGCCAGAAATACTACAATATTTAACACCTTTAATACAGCCAGAAATACTACAATATGTAACACCTTTGATACAGCCAGAAATACTACAATATGTAACACCTTTAATACAGCCAGAAATACTACAATATTTAACACCTTTAATACAGCCAGAAATACTACAATATTTAACACCTTTAATACAGCCAGAAATACTAAAATATTTAAAACCTTTAATACAGCCAGAAATACTACAATATTTAACACCTTTAATACAGCCAGAAATATCATAAATGTTAAAAAGGAAAGAACTCAAACACTGATCCTTGAGATACTTCCCTAGTAAAACGGGTACCATCCTATAAATTACAATCCACATTGACTAACCTTTCCCCAACACCCATGATGTAATTGTCTTAGCCAATCTTCTGAGCGACGCATATCAAAGGATTTTTGAAAATCTAAGTACACCAAGTCCACACCTCGAGATTACAAAATTAGAAGTTGTTCTAACCGCTACTGACTTTAAGGATGTAAATCCTGCTTTATGTCGTGTTATTCTAACCACTACTGACTGAGACACAAACTCGAACCTTGTAAAATCATTAGGCTTACCTTGAAGGCATGAGGGTAGACCTCGTGTCCTTAATCTCGTCAGCAGAGCGTTATGTAGTTGTTCGATATAACGGATTGCTTCTTCTATGATCGTTACCTGAACAAGGAACAATGTTTAATGAACATCAGTTCTTTGTCAAGGTTTTTAATTTCTTGACATTATATTTTGCAGACTGGGTATCAATAACATGTCTTTGATGTAGTACAAATATCACAAGAACTTGTAATAAAAGAATCTTCCTCAGTCTTAACATGATGGGTTAACAGTGTGGCATTAAAAGTCAGAATCAGCAGAATTCCAAAGACAATGTTTAGTGGATATTTTTTGAAAAACTTAAGAAACAAACGCTTTAAATTTCTCTAGCCATATCATTTAAATTTTCACCAATCAGTTGAATTATTATTTTGATAATCAGGGAAGTTCTTTTTTCAACTGATTACAAGATTTCCAAAAAGAGGTACTGACCTTGGGCACGTGCGGCTTCTTAGCAACACTGGGAACCATTGACCTCAGCCGACGATACTCGTGGATTCTTTGTAGTTTCCCATGAACCCGTTTCAGTACCTTCTTTTTCACCAGTTCTCTGTAAGTCGTGGCGGCCTTGTAGGACCTCTGGCGGCGGAACAAGGATACCCGCTTCTCTTGTACAACCGAAGTCGACGGAATTTTCATATTCTGGGAATAAAAGAAAATCTATTAATGTTATAGAGCTGGAAAAAGTGAACGTTCCATTTTTACTGAATATTCAAATATAGGTGGGGGCACATTATAACATTCGAATGATAATAAAGTCGGTAAAACTACAAGTCCAGTCTACAAATAGGAGGTTTGTTTCGAATTTCGCGCACAGCTACACAAGTAAAAACGTACGATTCATCTAACACATTACAGACATAAATGTTTTACGATTTTAATATTCTTTCCTGTCATAATTGTCTTTGATATTTCAACTTGTTTATCAAACTGACCACATATACAGCAGAACAACCCATATAATTAATCCACAACCCACACGATACATATATACGAAATTAATCAATTTCCTATCAGTGTGTTTAATATAATGTCTAACTCAGATAACATTATACATTCTGAAACTCATAACACTGGTTGGCGTGGGAGAAAACAGAGTAAAAGACACAGTACTGATAGCATTAAACAACCAGAACGAAACGCGTAGAACAACACGACATAAAACTGGCTTTACATCCTTAAAGGACAGGGAGAAAAAACGTATAGAACAACATGACATAAAACTGGCTTTACATCCTTAAAGGACAGGGAGAAAAACGAATAGAACAACATGACATAAAACTGGCTTTACATCCTTAAAGGACAGGGAGAAAAAACGTATAGAACAACACGACATAAAACTGGCTTTACATCCTTAAAGGACAGAGAGAAAAAACGTATAGAACAACACAACATAAAACAGGCTTTACATCCTTAGAGAACAGAGAGAAAAAACGTATAGAACAACATGACATAAAACAGGCTTTACATCCTTAAAGGACAGGGAGAAAAACGTATAGAACAACACAACATAAAACAGGCTTTACATCCTTAAAGGACAGGGAGAAAGACGTGTAGAACAACATGATATAAAACTGGCTTTACATCCTTAAAGGACAGGGAGAAAAAACGTATAGAACAACACAACATAAAACAGGCTTTACATCCTTAAAGGACAGGGAGAAAAACGTATAGAACAACATGATATAAAACAGGCTTTAGAAACATTTTCCTTCACGATTAATTACGTAATTCAAAAGAGGAGTTAGTTACAGAATATCACGTTTAACAGATGTCGACATATTTTTTAGTTGTTATCAGTAGAAGTTCAACAACGAAATAAGAAACTAGATCAAAGTGACAATCAGGTTTTCTGTATATTTTAACGTACATTTATATAACATTGGCTGTTTGTTGCCAGGGGTAACAAGAAAAACGAGTTACCTGTATGTTGTATCTGGGGGAACGATTACGTTGTACAGATTTTCAACAAGTTGATAAGCAAGCCCCGAGTGTTGACCAATCAAAACTAAGGCCAATCACAAAATGTCTTCTCTCTCTGCATGAAGCACATGTGGTCACCAGCTTATCAGTAGCGTTTCTAAGGCGATACTAGTAACCATCGCAACCAGCTGCTGAATGTTGATGATAACTGAGCTATCGTTCCGCAACTTCCGATGTATAATATACGCAGCGAATGAATACATGCTGCGTCACATATCAAAGAGTCTTTCCTAACTCAACATCTCCTTTTTTTATGTTGCTATTATCATAATATATGTATAAACTTCTCGCGGTCTAGTCACGTTGAATTTAGCACGTGTTTGAAAATATTCTCGTCATTTATGGTGTAGGTATATTTCAAACTAACATTCCCCTGCGCGGAGGTCTACACTTTGGGGTGTGAAGCGGCCAGCGGTTGACTTCTCCATTATATTTATATTAAACACTTAGTTATTCCATGATCTGGGACAAAATGCAGTGTTGGTTTCTTACCATTAGGTTTCGATAGAGAAATCGAGAATGAAGGAAGCATGCTAATACATTGAGAAAGTGGAACAGCACTCAATTTAATTTCATTTTAACTGAAACAACACTAACTTTAATATAACGAAGCTAGGAATGTAAACAGTCAAGAAAGTTTTAAAAATGTAACATAAGTTGTCTACGTTTGTAAACAGTCAAGAAAATTGTAAAAATATAACATAAGTTGTCTACGTTTGTAAACAGTCAAGAAAATTGTAAAAATATAACATAAGTTGTCTATGTTTGTAAACAGTTAAGAAAGTTGTAAAATGTAACATAAGTTGTCTGTATTTGTTAAACAGTCAAGGAAGTTGTAAAAATATAACATAAGTTGTCTGTATTTTTTAACAGTCAAGAAAGTTGTAAAAATGTAACATAAGTTGTCTGTATTTGTAAACCGTCAAGAAAGTTGTAAAAATGTAACAAAGTTGTCTATGTTTGTAAACAGTCAAGGACGTTGTAAAAATGTAACATAACGGTAAAATCCAGGATTTGATCCCTGTGGTGGACAAAGAAGATAGCCCAATATGAACTTGTTCTAAAAACAAAGATAACGGAATTTTTGAAATCAACACAAACTTGACGTTTCACCACAGTTATTGGCGTCATCAAATGGTTAACAGAAAGTTTTGTCAATTCGTTATGGTGAAGAGCTGTTTTATTTGTCTATTCATTATTTCGATGTCACGGTACAACGGTACGTCTTCAGATTTACAACGCTAAAATCAGAAGTTAGATTCTCCTCGGTGGCTTTGCTATAACAAAACACAAATTATTTCGACAAAAATTAAAAAACATATAGTTAAGAATACAAAAAAAAAATACCATATAATACTCTTTTGAGTCTAGATTCAGTACATTAGATGTTTGTTAGCCTTTTGTATACATCGTATACTGTTATAAAACAGGCAAAAATGACTCCAGTAGCTTGGGCCGCCATCTATTGTTAGCTTTCTACATCAGAGCTTTTAATTTCCAATTATCTCCAAGTTTAGATATGGTAAAACAGGTAATTCGGTTTAATATAGTATCAGTATTTAGAAATGTAATAATAATAATAGATGAAAAGTAAATACTTCAAAGCAAAAAAAAAAAACAGAATAATAGTATGTTAAACTGAAAACACGTTTTTTTAAAGAGCCCTTGTATACATTTGAAAATGTCGTTTTGCACGTTTGTACAATAGTATGCATATTGTTTTATCAACTTTTAGTCAATACCAAAAAAAATATTAAACCTGCTCTCTCTCATTGAAAACTTCTAACACTAAAACTGTTTATTAAAAACACACAAATGTTATATCGTTTTTGATAACCGAATTTCGTTTCATAACGATGTGTGTTGTGAAGCACTGAGGCTCTATACTGATGTGGGTTGTGAAGCACCGAGGCTCTATACTGATGTGGGTTGTGAAGCACTGAGGCTCTATACTGATGTGGGTTCTGATGAGGACTGAGGCTTTATACTGATGTGGGTTGTGAAGCACTGAGGCTCTATACTGATGTGGGTTCTGATGAGGACTGAGGCTTTATACTGATGTGGGTTGTGAAGCACTGAGGCTCTATACTGATGTGGGTTGTGAAGCACTGTGGCTCTATGCTGATGTGGGTTAAGAGCACTCAGGTTATATATTGATGTGGGTTGTGAAGCACTCAGGTTCTGTGTTAATATGCAGTTGTGACTTGATTCAGTAACGTGTTATCCGTAGTATAAGCCTAAGTTTGGTCTTTCATATCTCATTACCTTCACGATCTGGTAGTTTCCTCTTCGAAGGGAGTTCATCTTTCCCTGTGGCTATGTTGACTACATCTACTAGATTTTAACAGGGTGGTCAGTAACGTGTTATCCGTAGTATAAGCCTAAGTTTGGTCTTTCATATCTCATTATCTTCACGATCTGGTAGTTTCCTCTTCGAAGGGAGTTCATCTTCCCCTGTGGCTATGTTTACTACATCTACTAGATTTTAACAGGGTGGTCAGTAACGTGTTATCTGACTTACAGTTATTGTTTCTTTCTCTTCTATTGATTTCTTTTTGGATCCCACTCAGTGGCGATGTTGCCCAGTCGGGTATGCTTGTATTTAAATTCCGCACTAGAGACCTTTATATCGGTTCCTAATTGCAATGGGCTCTGTCGAGATGAGGTGTTCCCATAAGACCATCTGGACACAATTCTGGATGTTGACACCATATTACAATATTTCCAATGGATCGCTACTCGTGGACTGTCATTAATAAAGCTAAAGGGGATTTTGCCAGTCCCTGCTGATCTTAGAGCTGAATCAGTCGAGATCAGTTTACTTTTAAACTCGGGACTCCCCAACGCTTATGTTCCCCCTTACTTCTACTAGTGGAGCTTGGGATCCTTACCACACCCAGTTCCAAGTCGATAGGGTGGTGGACAGAAGATTTACCTTTGGCGTGGTGAGATTTCTTCACTTTAGTAGAAGAGGGCAAAGCTGGGGACCCTCCTACATGGGTCCTTGGTGGGGGGGGGGTGCTTAAACTTTCCTACCTGGGTCCTTGGAAGTTTTTCTTCGATGTATATAGAAGCAGGACCAACCATGCAGGATACTACTCGTAAAACCAGTCCAAATTTGATGCTTAGTTATCCGGTGGGATGGTGGTGCTTGGACCCTCCTATGAACACCGTCAGGTCTTATGTTGTTCATGCAGTGGTCCACTATCTCCTTGTAAATCCGAACGCGACGCAGTCCCCCTCTTTGGTCCTTGGTGGGACAGTGTTCTACATCCTCTCCTTAATTCCAAGGGTAATTCCACTTGGTGGGGGCGTGAAGACAACTGTTTGTAAATCTAGATAGGATTAGTTCTGGACTATGGTGGAGTATGGAATATGATCCCCTCAATCCAGACCTTGGATGTTGCCTTTTGGACTTCTTCAGGTTGATCAGAAGGATCATAAATTTGGTGGCTCCTAACGAATCATTCTGTGTTTACTGTTACAAAGATATATACATCTGCAGTCCAACTGCCCTGGGCTCCAACGTGGGATATGGGTACTATGACCCCTTTTATCCAACCTGAGTCGTGGAACCTCGGTTGTTTGGTCGGGGTTGGACCATCATATTTGTATTATATTCCATCCTTTTCAATTTTCTGTAGTTCTGGGTGAAGAGCATACCTGTTCTGGATGTAGTGTAGTGTTCCCCACTTTGATACCACTTATTGTGGTACATATTTGTTCTCTGCAGACGCTTTATGTATGATCCCTGTCTTCATTGGCCCCTCCGTCTTCTCAATGGGGATTCTAGCTATCAGTATCAGCAGAAGTATATAAGTTTAGGAAGTTATCATTTTCTTAAACTGAAAATGTATTTCCAAACATACTTACCTCCGCTGACACTCTTCTTCTCCACTAAGAGCCGGTGTTAGTGACCGGAATGTAGTAAGTCTCGAAAAAGTGATTTTATTGTCTGCATACAGTGGCTGCATAGAGGGCGTGTGAGGGACGGAGTAATGTTTTGCAAGTTAGATATTGCTGAGGGCAGTCGAGTGGGGTATATAAAGACTGGAGAAGTAGTTATTAGTGTCAGTGGAGATAAATATGTTTAGAAATACATTTTCAGTTTAGGAAAATGATAACTGGAAATATCATAAAAACTATATGGTTTTCTTCGTCTTGTTGTCATAAGTGCACTTAAACCTACTCAGTTACTTTAGAATTTCAATTGACAAGCCAAACTACCTTTCTCTATTTCTATTGCACTAGTATTCTGTGTATTCACTTACAATTATTTTACGAGTTACCGCAGCTGTATACTTTTCTTCCAGTAATCATTTGGTTCTCGTATTTCAGATATCTTTTGTCCCTTTTGTCAAAGTGCACTCGGGCTGATTCAATTACTTTAGAACCACGCTTTGACGGAATAAATTATAATTCTGATCTCCTTTTGTGCTGTTCGTCTTACTCTAACATATTAAACATTAGGTCTATCACTTCTACTGCAGTTAACTTCACGCCGAACTTTTTCCCTGGCTGTAACTTTACTCTCTTCTGTTATTGTGTGTCCGTTGTTTCTGCTCATCTCATTATATATATATATATATATATATATTGTTACGTCTCTGGTCGTTCTTTTGTTAATTTTCCGTAGAAATTATTTCCGATAAACTTTCTTTCTCAACTCAACTTTGCAATACACTTAATTTCCACAGTCACTTTAACTTAAACACACGCTATAATTCACAATGAATTACACAGTTTACTTACGGCTTGACTAGATTATCTGTCTCAATCTCCCTGTCTGCAATTCAATTATTTATGCCGTCACTTCTCGCCGGTCTTATATATACAAAATAGTAGGCGTCTAGCAAACACTCGACCTTTCAGGAACGTTCGAGATACTCATTAGGTGTTACGTAACAATATATATTTATATGTAACAATTCAATATGGTAGGGGGCCAAACATTTCTTAGCCAATCAGAGGCAACAGGGAGGGAAACATAGGCATCAGGAACCAAGGAACAGACCCCCAAAATAGTAGAAAAGGTTTAAATAAATAAAGATCGGGAAATGACATCAAACAAAACAGTTAAAGAATTTTGACGCATGAACAGACAATAGTGGACCCCCCCCCCCCACCCGCATTAACACAATTGTGCAAAATCTGAATATGTCATTTTACACTTTATCTTTTAAATTCAGGAAATGGTATCAGCAACGACGATGGCCTCAGAAAATAAAAGAAGAAAAAAAATGTATAAGTTAAAGTTAATATTATTGGGAAAACAAAACGGTGGAAAAATATTGATTCTGCAGTAAGAGTTCAGACATAAATAAAAAAAAGTAAAAAAAATATTTGCTTTAAAAAATAAGGCTTCTTGGAAAAACAATCTAATAACCCGAACGAAGCCAGATACTCTGTCTAGTAAATAAACGATTTCGCTATACTTACAGTTAGTTCCTTCATTAAACTCTCGCACCTGAGTTTAAAATATGGAACGTTTTCGTTTTTTTTTTAGTTTTAATACATGTGTTTGGAATAAAGTATTTCCAGAGCATAGTGCTACGTCGACAGTCTTCGTGTACTGAGGGTTAGGCTAGACTGCCAGAGTCGTGGAAGTTTCAGGTTTGTTATCAAATTATGCACTAAATTTAGTCTAAAGAAAAGTGTGAGAATTACAATAGTAATAACAAATCTAAATTGTTATTATTTTATTACAAGTTAAAGCTTTTACTTTACAGTAAGGAAGAATATTTTTAGAACAGGTACGACTTTTCGATCACTGGTGAGATCATTCTAAAGTACAGAAGTTTTAACGGTAAAGCTTTAGATATTTAAATCAACAATCTAGCAATGTATTTAAATTTTAAAACTGATAATTGTTACGCATGTGTGTGTAACAATCCGCCTGAATTGAAATAATATTTATTTATGGCTGAACCGAAAAAATAGTGACTAAACACTGAAAAATGGAAATGCTGTTCGAAATATTTACATAAGTTTAGGAATTTTTGGAGAAATAACGACATATAGAAATGTTCCTGGGCATTTGTTAACTGTGGGATTGTTTGATTTTGTTAATAAAGCTTCTATCATTTTTCTTCTGTTAATGTTAGATCCATGTTTTAATATGGTAATATTCTATTCAGGAAAACTGTTTGTTTATATGTTCATGGACTTGGAAGTTGTTTTTTTAACCTGGTTATCAAGTTACGTCCTGTTTCAAGTATGTAAAAGGCTTAGCAATTGTTACACTTTATTTTGTAAATGTTTCCTGGTGGGGTGGATTTGTTATATAATTTTCTTAACATGTGTTTAATTTTTATTCCAGAAGTGAAAATGAATATAGTCGTTATATTAAGGTTATATTTATGTGCTTATATTAAGGTTATATTTATGTGCTAGTCTTTTCCAAATTTATGATAGAATTATGCTAATACTTTCTATATATGGGAGAGTGTTTAGTGTTTCTTAATGTTACGACAGCGGAAGTCACGTGACGCTGCTGGCGCTTTGGCGCTGGTGACGTGTGTGATGAGTTTCTCGAATGATCGGGGAAGTCCAAGTGTGATCGAGTTGCCCTCTTCGTTAGTATATAAGAATGGCAGAGGAAAGCCAGCGCGGAGGGG